AGGCAGCTGTTCCTGGATTGCTTCTGGTTTATGCAACTTCCCCCCTCTTTTCCCAGCCATGTCCCAAACCACCTCTTCCCTCTTCTCTGTGGCAAGGGGAAAGTAAGAAGTAGAGCATGAATCTGGGTCTTCCCAGAGCCCTCCCCTCCATGCCTGCTGTCTCTCACTCCAGCCTCGCTCCCACAAAACACACCCCCACATGTAAGGCAGCACACATCCCTGAAGCTTGCAAACAGGACTAGCAGGCAAGGAGAAAGCCGGGGGGAGGAGGAAGAAAGATGAAAACATTTAGGATAGGAGGAGATGGGCAATGTGAATGAGGCAGTCAGCTAGCAAGCCTGGGAATTCATCCCTACCTCCTCCCAGGCTTTGGCAAGCCCTGAGGCTTTGAGTTCCCAGGCCAGCTCCCCGGGGAAAAGCACCCCCTCCTTGGCTAACCCCACAAGCAGGACGTGGTCAATCTCATCCCTTTGGCCTCCCACTGCTGCAAGGGAGGGGAGCTGTAGAAATTGGTGGTGAAATGAGAAATGGGCTCTTACAAACTCAACTCAGTCCCTCTTGGGTGAGTGGGTTTGACCTGATCGTGCTGCCTGCCCAGTTGTGCTCATTGCAATACGCCCTGCTCTCCTTCTCCAGCCACGGCAAGGACAGCGCAAGACAAGGCAGCTGGGAACAACATAGGTCTCATTTTCCCTCTTCCCAGCTATTGCCAGATGCAGAGGCTATGGGCATGGAGCAGGGGACCTGCAGCACAGCTCCAAGAATAAGCTGAGTATGGCCCCGCATAACCCACCCTGTGGGATGCTGCAGGCAGAGAAATCATCCTGGAGGAGAAATTGCAGGGCAAAAATGATCGGAGTCCCCAGAAAACTAGAGCTGGTATCATACTGGGGAAGTACTGGGCAGAAGCTAAAGCAGGCTCCTCACACCGACACCATGGAGGGCTTGTCCATGACATACCAGTCTTCTGGAAACTTACCTCCTGCCACCATACCAGCTTGCTTATATTCCCTTAAAATCAGCTCTGCCTCAAGCTCAGCTCCGGTGCAGTGAGCTGCATGCTGGAGGCAGCGGCCAAGGGCCAAGCGCTGGGAGAGGGGAAGAGGGATACAACAGCAGTGGGGTAAGAGGCAGCTGGATGGGGCCAAGCTGTGTTGCATGGCAGGGCAGGGGGCCGTTTCAATCCCTCCCCTCATGGCAGGGGGCTGCCTCCACCTTGCTGCCTGCAGTAATTCCCAGCCCGTGTGGTATGCACCCTTGCAGCCACTGTGAGGAGAATGGAAACATCTGGAAGTCACCCGCAAACGAGCAGCGCTCCCAGTTAATGAGGAAATATGAGCCGGAGACCCTGGGCAGCAACAGGATATCTGCTTCTTGTGTGCTGAGCAAGACACCCCTTCCCGCCTCCCCACTCTCCCTCCCGCCTCTGCCTCCCTTCCCCTCCAGCCCTCCTTCCCCAGGAGCTGCCTAGGGACCCAGCTCTGGGAGAGCTGCCTTCCAGGGGTGCTCTCATGTGGGGCAGGACCCAGCCGCCAAGGAACTGTAGGCCCCCAGGTTCTCAGGGGAAAATATTCCCTTCCCCACCTCTCTGCAGCCACCCCTGTGATCCCTTTGGTCCCGTCCTCACTGGATCTTGGCAAAGCTCCCCTCCACAGCCCTCTCCGGCTGGTAGATGTGTCAGGGGGCGGCCAATGATTCAGGGAGCACCAGCAAGCAGCCATACGGAGGTGGACTGAAGGCGACTGAGCCCAGTCCCCAGTGGGACAAGCAGCAATAGCCAAGGGAAACAGGGAGAGGGGAAGGAAAGCAGAACATCAAGGTGTGTTGGGCCCCATGGCAGCATTTGGGGTAGTACTCTCTGACAGTCATTGCTTGGCAGGGAATAGAAACCCATGGACAGGTACCCCGTCCCCAAGCTGGGGACCTTCCCTCAGCCTCCCCAAACACAGGAGAAAGGAAGCAGGATTTTCTTCCCCAAAAGGAGTCCTGCACCCACTTCCTTCAGGCATCACCCTGCAAGCCCCCAGGCCTGCAAGCAGGAGGAGGGGAATGGAGCTGCAGAGCAAAATGTGAGGAACAAGCAAGGCACATCTTCAGCCTTGGGTGATGGGTCCTTCACTCCCTCCTTCACCCGCATCTGGAGATTCAGGGCAGAGGCGTCAGCTCCCTCACAGTCCACTCTCTCCCTCTCTCCTTCCCTGTTGTACTCAGCTACTACTAAGGACGCAAGGCTTTGGCCCCATGCCTGAGGAAAGAGTGCTGCGAAGCGGGGGCAATTTACCCAGCCCAATCTTTGATGTTGTAGGAATCAAAGCAAATAACAATGTCAGCCTTGAAAGCTGCAGGACTACCTGGCTGCTCCTATGATAAGCCTGACAGCCAGAGTCTGTATTAGGGCTAAACTGGGACAACTGCCTGGGGCCTGAGGTTACAGATGGATGAAAGGCAAGGGCTACTAAGGGTAAATGAGGTGTCCAGGCACCTGATGGGGATAGGGATGGGAGGGATCCAGGATTTAGCTTCTGCCCAGGGCACTCACAGCTGTTACGGTGACTCCATGGTACTGTCCAGACCCACTGCAAGAGATGGCACCTGTCGGGGGTGGCAAGTCCAGCAGCCAAGGCAGATAAGCAGCATGGAGGGAGGTTAGGAGGCAGGATTATGAGCGCCCACTTCTCAGAAAACTATATCTGAAAGAAGGGAGTCTAGGGAGGGGGCAACCCATGTTAGGGTGCAATTCATGTTAGGGTGTAGCCAGTGGCGCTGAATCACCTCTGCTTGTACCCTGGCATCCAAAGGCCAGGATGGGTACTGAGACCCATAGCCAGCATGTACTCTGGAGGTCCCCAAAGCCAGGAAAAAGCACTTTGACACCAGCCCAAGGACAAAAATCACAGCCCAGGTGGTATGGCTGCAAGGAGAGGAGCAGAAGAGGGGGATTTCCAGCAGCTTTCCTAGAAACAGAGCACATCCTAGCCCAGAGCACAGAGAAGCTTTGAGTGCAGGAGGAGAGGGCGAGAAGAATGAGGGGGTGGAGAGCTGGCCGCCCCTCGCAGGATGGAGCGTGGCCCCTGCCCCATCTGGAAGAGATTTGTTCTGCATTCCCCAGCGGAGGAGGCTGCCGTCGCCCAGACTCCATTCCCTGCCGCAGCCATCACTGCAGGGAACCAGGAAGGGGGTGGAGGGCAGAAGTACCCGTCTATCTGCAGGGACTGGGCTAAATGGAGAGAGATGGAGTCCCTTTGGCTGGTAGATGCCCTGGCAGGCCTGAGGAAGGAGGAGACATGAAGAAGGGTTTTTCCATGCCTCTCCCACAACCCTGGCTGTTTTCCTCTGAGTGGGGTGTGTGGGGAGAGAGGCCTAATATAGCTCCAGCAAGAAGGGAAGATATAGGTTATGATTTGTCCTCCTTTCCCCCCGGTAGCACAGCCCAGCCCCCTCAAGCCTGAGCTCCTGTCCCCCTCAGAGGCATAGACCCACTAGAAGTACCCCCAGAACCCACAACCCTGTGCTGATAATGACGTTCCCTAAGGCATCTGGCCTCTACAGAAGAAAGCAGAAAACCTAACTGTCCCGTTTTATAGAGAAAGAGCCCGAGGCTGAGATTGATACATGCCAAAAACTTGCTGCTGCTTAGCAAACCTCTAAGCAATAGCCAAGGTACCAAGCTGGTCTGCCTGCAGCCTCTGCAGAGCACTGAGCCTGTCTCCATTGGAAAGTTTCTCCTAATTTTCTCAAACAGAATACACAGCAGCATCCTGCTCTGGGGTTATTTGCTGGGAAAGATAACTCTGAAAAAATGAAGAGTCTCAGGAAAGGTTAAACTAAAAGAAGCCCTTCCCCCAGTGATGGTGGGGTAGTGGTCCTGGGAGAAGTGAGAGGCCATGGTCTCCTCCCCTCCAGAAGCAAGCAGAGCCTTAAGTTAGTGAGCTGGATGTGCAAACACATGGTGCCCCTCCTCCCTGTTCCAGAGCAGCATTCTGGCTGGCCACCCCAACATGGGCCACCTGAGCCTAGTGAGAGGCCAGGCTCCATTTTGACATCTTCTCTGCAGACATCTTGTCATCCGTTCAGCCTGGCCCTGCTTAGCCCTGCTTAACAAGTCTCATCTCGCCTTTCCCAGCTGAGACACCTCCCTTCTCCTCCACTGGGCGATGAATAGGTGCTTGTGTCTGGGCAAAGCACTTCCCAATAGAGCCACTGAGTCTCACCTGGAAGCCACAGAGGTCACCAACAGAACCAGTGCTCTTGTGTCCCCCAGGAGATTGCCCCCTGCAGGACTGATGGGGTCTTCTGCCCTGTGACCATCAAGGGGCAAAGCATCAAAGCACGATGCCAGAGGGATTCGGTGTCTTCCGTGTTGGCAGAAACCTTTCCCAGTGCTGCAAAGGAGCCCTTCTCCTCGACTTTGCCCAGTGCCACCTCCTCACCCTGGCCCTATACAATGCTGCTGATGTAACGCTTGTCCTGACCCTCTAACGCTTGTTCTGGCCCTGTCACAATTGTCCTGGCCCACACTGTCTTCGGTGAGGGCCTTAACCAGTCAACATTCAACCCAACTCTATCCACAGGTCCTGGCATGACCGCACACCCCCAGACCAAGGGCTCCTCTCCTCATTCCTGGTTGGCAGCACTCTTATTGAGGGCACTGAGGACTTCACATGCAACACGGGCTGGGATGATCCCATGTGATATATATGAGGACTTTCACATACAGGGGACAAATGCCTTTCTTTTGCCCCCCAGCCAGGTTTGCTTAATCAGGTCTACTGGAGAGCTGGTCTTTCCCCTTTCCCCAAATTCCCTGAATCTGGGCTGCTTTGCGGGCGACTCAGAGTCTGATCCCAGAGGAAGGGAAATGGTACTAGGGAAGAGGGAGGAGGTACAGAAGTTCCTGAAGTTTTCTGTCCTGGATAGTTGGAATAAATCTTATTTTCTCTGGTCTCCTTGCTGAGGCAAAGAGTGCTTAGGGATAGCGAGGATTGGTCCGCCAGCTTCGCTCCCTCTCTCCAGTGGCACCAGTGTGTTATGCACAGCAGCCAAAAGACCAGCCTGGGGAGCCAGCATTGCGGGGGAAGCCGTGGGAAAAGGGGGGGTATGCCTCCCCTTCCCCCCTCCTCAGGGACACAGCACTGGTAGCCCTCGGAGCAGGCTGAAGGGGCACTCTGGGAGCGTCTCCGAACTTTTCTGCTGGAGGACAAAAAAAAAAAGCCCCGGTTCTTAAGAGGTAAATCCTGAAAGTTTTGATTCCTATGCATGTAGGGCTTGGGAGGGGAGAGATGTTTCGGAGCAGAAGAAAAAGTGTGGAGAGGGTGGTAAGAGAGGGAACGAAGGGGTGGGAGAACTGGGAGGGGTGGCAAGACGATGGAGACGGGGAGAATGTAGCAAAAGAAGGGGAGAAGAAGACAGGAATGTAACAGGAAATGAACAGAAGAGGAATGGAAAGACGGAGCAAAAAACAAGAGAGAGGCCGGGGAGAGGAGGAAAAAAAAAACAGGGCAAGAAGGGAGCCCCAATGAAGCGGCCCCAGAACTGGGAAAGCAGCAGGGCACCCCCTTCCACTGCCACCTTTCTCCCTCAGCTCTGGATATCCCGTGAAGCCCCACAGGGTCTCAGAGCCTCAATTTTGGTTTTGGAGCAAGAAAGGGAGCAGTTCTGGGCAAGGGGGGTAGGG